TTTCAGCCAGTTATTTTGTTTAGGTAAAATTAAATTAATTTTTGCTAAATAATTTTTCATTTTAGGCTACGCATTTTGTTTAATTATTTTTAAATAATCATTAAATTCTTATCTAAATGTGATAGAGGAACAATTTTATTTGATTAAAAATTTAGTTTTGGATACCTACATTCGTAATAAAGTGCTACACCACTGATCGCAAGACACCGTTTTTTAAAGACATATTTGTACCAAAACATATTGGATTAAAACGATAGAAACTTAAATGACAGTTTACCATACATTTATCTATAATTAGAGCTGCGATTTAAAAAATCTAAAACTGTGAATTAAAAGATCTAAAACAGTGATTTTAAAAATCTTAAATATACTAACTATTATAAATGAAAAAATTGTTCAACCGCCTAACGTAAAAAAAAAATAACAACTCACCTGCAGTTTGTAGTCACTTTAAAGACGAGTAACTTCCCTGTGATCGTCTGCTAAAACTCTGGGTCCTTTTATACAGACTTCGAGGCGAGCAGTTAGACGCGAAAAGTGACATAATGTCCCTCCTTTTTTGTCCCGGGGTGGGGGAGAGGTGTACAAATGTACATGTCGCCCCACCCATCTCTTACACTCCCATGTAGGCATAGCGCCCCGTAATCAGCGAGCCCCTGTGTCCCCCACCCTTCAGCAGAAGGTAGAAAGTAGACTTTGAGCAGTTAAAAAACTTATTTGCAGTTCATTTAGCAAACGTTCAAAAGTCAGTCCGACCAACAATGGTAAATAATCGAAAGGTCGTTTGGCTCAAGTCTGACATTCGGCTCACCTCAGGGGGGAGGAGTGGTCGCTCTTGTGGGGGTGTTAAGTAGGAGGGGACAGCCCTGTTGCTGTTTCAAGGGTGGACAGTCCTGTTGCTGTTTCTGGGGTGGACAGCCCTGTTGCTGTGTAAAGGAGGGGACAGGCCTGTTGCTGTGTTGAGGAGGGGACAGGCCTGTTGCTGTTTCAAGGGTGGACAGCCCTGTTGCTGTTTGAAGGGTGGACAGCCCTGCTACTGTTTCAAGGGTGGACAGCCCTGTTGCTGTGTAGAGGGGGCAGTCCTGTTGCTGTATAGGGGACAGCCATGTAGCTGTTTCAAGGGTGGACAGCCCTGTTGCTGTGTAAGGAGGGAACAGCTATGTTGCTATGTACCGGGTTGGACAGGAAGTAAAAATAAAGTGTCGTATTTTTTTTATTGTATCAACTACTCGGGTATATAAGCTCACATTTATAAATCTACATATATATATATATATATATATATATATATATATATATATATATATATATATATATATATATATATATATATCAGCAAAAGAGAGCAAATGTTATTTGAATTTTTCAAAAAGGACATTGTGTCTTTAATGTGTATATTTCTCTTAAAGATATTCCCCTTATTTTGTGCATTTTTAGATTCTTTATTAAAAATACAATTTGAGTCGAGATTTTTATATTACTTCCCTTGAATAGCCAGTGAATCAGCTTCACCCCTTCATGCTGCGCCTATGGCGGATGGTGAATGGAGTTGATGAGTGTAAGCACACGTTTGTCTACATGCTGGGGATGGTTGACAAAACTGGGTTTAATTGCCGAATTGTAGACAAGCCTCGGAGACGGAGACCGCCTAAAAAAAGTGAAATTAAGCTAAAATCAAGTTGACATGCGCTTGCAGCAAACATTCACCTGTCCGAGTTCAACGTTAGAATCAAATGGAAAGCTAGGTCGGAGCACTCAAGGGAAACAACTTGTTTGTTTTTAATTAACCTGGTCACATGACTAATTGCCACAGTTCTTTTATTATCCGGAAATTCGAACTTTTGGGTTGACCCTTCTCTAAGAAACAGGTAAAATGGGTGGGTGGGAGAGGGGGTGGGAGGAGTGGGGGGGGGGGGGGAGCTCTATCATTTTTGGTGTACATTGTTAAGAATCCTCCCATAGAGTTGTCTTTTGATTTCGTTCAAGGGTGCGGTAGACGTTCTTCGGGGGTCTCAACCCCCCTACCTGACCCCGAAGAGTTGCCTGAAAGAAACTCTGAATGCGACTTTGGTCAAGTTTAAGATTAGGTGCAAGATATAGGGTTTTGACTAGGACTATATTTAGTATCAATGTGGAATAACTGCGTATAGATCAAGGTTACCAGATAAAGTATTGTGGTATAAACTACATTAATCGTCTATACACAAAAATAGAATGGCGTCTTTGATGGTTGAATAAAAAAATTGAATTAAGAATCGAATGCCGAAAACGATACACAATAATGACGTTATTGATAATATAGACAAAAACATTAAATGTCAAATATATTTGTCTAATTTTAGAGGTGTTTGTAGATATATAAAGCGTTAGTATTATGAATACGGTTGGGGTAATTATGTGTTTCATTTCAAGTTGAATTTCCGGATCCGGTTAAAATGCCGATTCTGGATAAAAATCAGTTTTAATTAATATTTTTCGTTTCCAGTTAAATTTGAAGTTTAAGGGGTGCTTTTGGTTTTAGTTTCGATTTAGAGAAAAATGTAATACTATCAACCTAGAGCCCGTTGTATGTTTCCATCAACGGGCCGTTTATCTAGTGTTTAATAATTTTCATTTTAGCACACACCCACAACACAATCTACTCACATGAGTCTACACCGCTTTATACATCATCAACATCCACACCACACTACAGGCCAGTCACACCAACAGCACAGAACATGCCACTCATATCAACACCACACTGCGCGTCATCAGCATCATATTATGTTTTATGCGCACCCACATCCACATCTACATCCACATCCACACCACACTGCACGTTTTTCGCAGTCAATTGTTACACATGAACTATTTCTTTTCCCCTCAACATTGTCGTTATCCAAAATATTTTAAAACAATCTGGCGCACTTTAATGGACATTTGAAATTTAGAAATGTTACTCTGCATAAGTTATCAAACTATTAGCATTACTTAAACCAGTAAACTGTAGAAAAACATAAATTAATCTTAATGCGAACTTAGCTACTGAGGCATCCATGTGATGTAATGAAGCCTTAAGTAAACCAGTTAACTATGATCATCTACACCACACTGCACATCATATTACACTTAATGCACATCCACATCTACACCACACTGCCCGTCAACAGCATCATATTACACTACATGCACATCCACATCTAAACCACACTGCCCGTCAACAGCATCATATTATACTTCATCCACATCCACATCTACACCAAACTGCGCGTCATCAGCATCATATTACACTACATCCACATCCACATCTACACCACACTGCACGACAACAGCATCATATTACACTACATCCACATCCACATCTACACCACACTGCACGACAACAGCATCATATTACACTACATCCACATCCACATCTACACCACACTGCACGACAACAGCATCATATTACACTACATCCACATCCACATCTACACCACACTGCACGACAACAGCTTCATATTACACTACATCCACATCCACATCTACACCACACTGCACGACAACAGCATCATATTACACTACATCCACATCCACATCTACACCACACTGCCCGTCAACAGCATCATATTACACTTCATGCACATCCACATCTACACCACACTGCGCGTCATCAGCATCATATTACACTACATCCACATCCACATCTACACCACACTGCCCGTCAACAGCATCATATTACACTACATGCACATCCACATCTACACCACACTGCGCGTCATCAGCATCATATTACACTACATGCACATCCACATCTACACCACACTGCGCGTCATCAGCATCATATTACACTACATCCACATCCACATCTACACCACACTGCGCGTCATCAACATTATATTACACTACATCCACATCCACATCTACACCACACTGCACATCATATTACACTTCATGCACATCCACATCTACACCACACTGCACATCATATTACACTACATCCACATCCACATCTACACCAAATTGCACGTTATTCACAGCCACCTGTTACACATAAGCTCTTCGCCCTGCAACATTTTTGTTGTCCAAAATATTTTAAAACAATCTGGCACACTTTAATCGCCCTTTAAAATTTATAAATGTCACACTGCATTAGTAATTAAGCGATTAGCATTACGTAAACTAGTAAACCATAGAAAACATTATGTTAACATACTTTGACTTAGCGACTGAAGCGTCCATCTGATGTAATGAAGCCTTATGTAAGTCAGTTTACTGTGAACATTACAGGCGATTATTTCAATCGATCTGATCTAGACGTAATTACATCCTTATCGTGACAACAGCATGTACTCAGTAATGTCAACATGTACTCAGTGATAACAACATGTACTTAGTGATAACAACATGTACTCAGTGATGTCAACATGTACTCAGTGATGTCAACATGTACTCAGTGATGTCAACATGTACTCAGTGATGACAACATGTACTCAGTGATGTCAACATGTACTCACTGATGACAACATGTACTTAGTGATAACAACAACATGTACTCAGTGTACTTTCAGCACTGAAGTAGACCTGACTATGGTTAGGGAAAGTAAAGACGGTTGGTCTTAGGGCTGACCACACTATCTCTTCATATGCCGAGGTCACTGAAAAAGGTTAACTCTATCCACCTGCCCCATGGTACAGTATACATATCGTTATTTTTCATGCTAAGTCATGCATCTGGTATTTGAGTACATAACTAGCTGCCATTTTGTCTTATTTCAAAAACAAAAACAAAATCACTCAACGCCCTTATACACATGTGTTATACAGAAATCTTTTTTTTAATAAATAAAAACACATTTTAAATTGTACACACACACCAATGTACGAGTATTTTTGTTACCTATTCCTTTAGCCGCTAGTTGAAAAATATTTTTAAAACAAGCAAACAACAGCAGGGGAAATAATTCCTCTCCTAACATAGATTCGTGTAAGTCTACACATTTAATTGTAATTTTCAAAGTTAATCAGATCAATCATTT